AAACAGCATTATCATCACAGAAGCAGAGAGATCCAGCTGGTAAGGAGGACACTGAGAAGTTTAAAGACATCCCCTTCCACTGTAATTTATAGAAATCACCAAGGATGTAAACACCAGAATAATGTTTGGGGGAGGACGCTCCATTCGCTATGGCTTTTAAACACAAACAGAATGAACATTTTTGCTAGTGGGTGACAACCATTGTAATGGCAATAAATAAAGGTAATTAGTTCTCAAGCAAAATGTAAGGGATCCAGGCTCATTCAGCTCCCCAAAGCTGATAAATCACTTTGGTAGGTGGATGTTGTTGCACACCCTCCGCTCTGGTGGAGCCGGCACCAGCCGGTAGGAGCCCCAGTGCCACGCCTCCCTGCTTCTGGAAGGCTTTGCGTCCAGCAGACCTGCAGACACACTGCTGTCACCGACCACACTGGTCTCCATCAACAGCTAAAATTAGCCTTGTAACATATAGACCAGACCCCTGCACTCCTCTGCTCAAACCCACTGGTGATGTTCATTAACGCAAAGGAAAGCCTGAACTACAAGCCTTCCATCTGGAAGCGCCCCCGAGGAAGAGTTCTGGAGAGTCTGCTGTAACTTTTGCTAACAACTGGGCACCTCAATTAACTGGAGAGAGAGGGGCACCTGGGGCTCCCATGTCCTGTAAGGGGCAGGCACACCTCACACAATGGAGATTCACCTCCTCTCCTGAGCTTCTTTTGAAACACGTACTGAAAAGCTAGCTGATAGTAGTATCTGGGCCTAGAATCTAAGCTGCTTTTCCATATAAATGCAGAGAGCTTTCTGCACGGTTTAAAGCGTCCTAAAACACCCCTGAATGCAAAATGCTGCAATCTTTTCAAGGACACTCAATGTCTCTTGATCACCAATGTATCAGCAGTGCTCACCAGTTTGGAAAGCCTCAACACTGCCGGTACAGGACATCCCTCACGGCATTGAAGTCGGCCACGAGACGTGCCTGCATTGCTCTGCGCGTGCATTGTAGCTGCTCTATCACATGTGATCCTTCATATGGGTATAGGACTGCCAGTGTGCCTTACGTATAATTTATCACACATTTCTTTCCTTTTATTTTTGTCTTACATTACAAGGACATTACACGGACTTCAAACTGTGGACGGGAAGGTTACACTACCTATGAATTTCATCGCAGGAAAGTAAAGAAGTGAGCAAAGACTGGACTTTCTACACCAGGCAGCACTGGGTGTGACAGGCTGTGACGTGCCCGGTATTCATCTCTGAACCAGCCTCCCTGCTCTCCCTCCGCTCCGGCCACTGATCTTGGTGCTCTCCTCCAAAGCCATCCCGCTGGCGCCCCTAAGGGTCTCCGCTCTGGCTCTCTGTTTGGAATGCCTATTCTCTGGTCTAGGTGACCTCTCTGGTTTCACTCATTCTTCCTTCAAATGGCACCTCCAGCAACAGTCTTCTGCGGTCACCATGCCTCACATCACTCCACCTTCTATCATTGGCTAGGTTCTTCGAGCAGGCACATCTACCTACGATTCTATCACAGTGGAATTTGCCCAGCCCTCCCCGCTCGCTGCTGTGGGAACATGCACTCCATGCGGGAAGCAGGCAGTGTTACTGTGGGTCCTGGTGGATCATGGAAAGTGGCTCACCATGGGAGCCTGATGAGTATTTGTAAAGTGAATGAATTAATTCATGAAGATATTGCCTGTGCTCCTGATCCCTGAAGCTACATTTCTTTCTCTCCCATCTACATAATTTATAGCCAATCTAAGTCGGCATTAATTCTTTAAATATATCCATCAAATGCCTACCATATTTCAGGCACTGAGAATACAATAATAAATAAGACACATCTTGCCCACATAACCTTATAATTAATGACCAGCCTTAGCACCCCTGAAGTATTGGAGCCCTCCAGTGAAGTGACTTTACAAAAACCCACCAATTTCTATTGCATATTCTGAGTATCTTTACAATACAGTCACTATGATATTCATAAATCAGAAATCATCCCTCACATATTCAGAAGAAAGCTATTATCACATATAAAGAAATTTTTACTAAAGTGAAAAATCTTGCCCCTGGTTCTTATGATACCCTTCTTCAAGTTCCCAGGATACCCCTCCCTCAGAGACTGAGGGAGCTGAAGGCTGGGCGATGTGTGAGTAAGTGGAAGCTTCTAGTTCCCTTTAGTAGAAGTAGCAGGGACCTCTACCTACCCGGCTGAGATGAAGCTCCCGGCTAAAGCACAGAGGAAGCAGCTGCCTTCTGAAGGACCCCACCAGCACTAAAGTCCAATCTATCCTCTTTCTTGGGGAGCACAAGTCAACGTCAGCCCCAACTGATGGCTCAGAGCCACACTGAATGTTCTGGACAGGGACTGACCATTCAGACCCTGACCTTTCCCCACTTCGAAGCCAGACATACTTCTTGCATGCCGAGGAGAGACAGAGGGTGAGCCCAGAACTGACACAGCCTATGTATTTGTGCAGAGTCATACCATGGACTTTCTCATTCAGTTTGCCATCTGGAGGACACATAAAATAACCTTGTCATTATAAATAAGCAGTTCAAGTTCAGAGAGGTGTTCTTCAACCAAGGTTTTTGAATTCTAACGTAGGAAATGGAAATGGCTGGCTGAAATCAGGTTCGGGGGCTGTCCACGGGCTTCAGCCCTCACTGGTATCGAGCCTCACCTGAGGGACGGGCTACATGGCACCCTGATCCAACACCTGAACAAACCCCAATCCAGTGCCCACTTGGGCACACATCCCCTCCCCGTTCCCACTCCTAAGCCTTCACCCCCACGACTTCATGAAGCCTTTATTCCTAGAAAACTTCTAGAATTGAGCAAACCTTGGAACAGGCCATAATGCATGTGCACCATTGCCCATGCAACACTGTTCATGCCCGTTGAACAGCAATGGAGGGACAAACTTCCTACTTTTTATGGTGGGCCAGCCACGTTCCAACAGAGAGACGATGGGGCCCAGAATGACATAATATTCTGGACATGGATGAAAAAGCTGACATGCCCCTTTGCCAAACTCTCTCCCCACCTCATCCCCCACACCACAATTTTTCCTCTCAGGCCAGACCTTAGAGCAAAAATATCTAGGAGAGGCAGACCTAACAATAAAGAAAGACTCCAGAAGGGTCTGCCCAGGAAATTCTGGTCCACACCCGGTAGGCATCAAAGCGTGCATCTGTGGTGCTGGTGGGGGATAGTTATTATGTGAGTTGGTGTTTGACCAAAAGAACTCAGAAAGCTAAAGTTTGTGGGCTCTTGCTGTAAGAATCCTAAGTTCCTGTAAAACACCATCCCACTTCAAATGAAATTCGAGAGTTTCAATTTGCTGCAAACGTGCAGGTGTCCTAAAGGCTCCCGCCAGAGTCCTATGAGCCCTATCAGTTCCCGCCCCTTGGCATGGTTTGGTGGCACCCTGTGAGGACTGGCCCCCTCCCCCCGTGCCAGCTTCCTGGAGCCTGAGTGCAGGGCTGTGTCCGCTGGATGCCCGTGCGGAGCCCCATGTGGGAGCAATACTGACTTCCCAGCAGAGGGAGGAGAGGTGTGTGTCTCAGGTTTCCTGGGTTCACCTGGGGTGGAGGTCACCTCCAAGCATGGGCGGTTCGCTCTAGCTAATAGGCTGGAGCCGCAGTATGCCAGGGAGACAAAGCGAGCCCAGCCCAGAATAGAAACCCAAGCTCCCAATCTTGCTGAATGTGGCCGTTAGATGAGGCAGAGCAGGAGAGCAGAAGAGAAAGCGGGACGAGGAGGGGTGAGACGTCCCGATGGAAACGGGGAGTTATGAAAATACCACCTGCATGCCACCCTCAGAGTTTGCCCTGCAAACGGGAAAGGCTACCAACTTTTTCCCCAGGAGCATGAGACCTCGGAGTTTCCCGGACAAGTCCATCTGCCACGGATCATTCGTGTGCTGCTGTGCAGTTCATTCTGCGAAGACAAAGAGCAGTGACCACATCTCACTTTGTAGATGAGAAAGCAAGTGATGAGCTTTAGCATGAAAAGCCCCAGGAATGATCAAGAGGTGAATAAACTGTCCTCTGCTTGACCCCACCTGCCCCCTGACCCTCTCCGGTCAAGGGGACCCTTACCATAGAGGACAGCTGGGCGTTTAGACGTTTCCTCATGGGCATATGGGTCAGCCTGCCTGTTTGAGTTCTCAGAGGAGAAGGAGGGAACCATAGTGATCCCAGAACCCATACCCTGGCACCCGGGTCCCTGTGTGCTGGTGGACTGTCCTAGGAAGCAAAGGATTCAAAGGCTGTGTCAGTCTGTTGAGCAGGGAGGCAGCAGACACCCGAGCCTTTGCTAGACAATGAAAATCCGTAAGGGAGGAACAGAGAAAGCATGAAGAGGGAGGGAAGGGAAAAGGAGAGGAGGTCCAGGATTCCTAAGGAAAGAGGTTTCCTTTCTCTTCCTCGGAGCCTCCAGAGAGAGATAAATGCAATTACCAACCTAGCATGACAGCACACAAAATAAAAGAGGCACCTGCCAGGTGACCATCTCTGCCGGGACTCGAACCCGGAACCTCTGGATTAGAAGTCCAGCGCGCTCGTCCATTGCGCCACAGAGACCTCACCACACACACAGCATCAGCACCAGAACTGAAAAAGCACATACCTTCTGCATCACCAGCCATCTCGGCATCCTGCTCTCTCGAGCGGTGGGGGGGGCAGGGACAGCTGGAAAATCTGGAGTGGAGATCCACCCGCAGGCTCCGTCAAAGCTTTTCCCAATACTGTGGGTCCTGGGTCCTCAGGGGACTGGAGGATCGGGCTGGAGTCATTTTCAGTCCCAGAAGCTCTGATGGGGTAGGATGGAGCTAGAGCCTGGGCTCCTTCCTCTCCATCCCTGAGGGAGGATACAGGAAAGTCTCTCTATTCTCATGCTAATTAGGCACAACACTCACCCAGCCCAGCCAGAAAGCCACGGAGCCGGCTCTACCTCCACCCCTCTCCCTCACTATGGTTTCATCCCACCCTGATAGTCTCAGATAGGGGCTGGGCAAAGCTGGGGGATTCAGGAAAGCCCTCCTTCCCTGAGACAAAGGACCTGCTCCAGTAAAGAAACAGTGTGAAGGTGGCGGCAGCGCCAGGCGGGGAAGCCGGGCTCCAGGGGACTGGTCCAGCTCTCAGCCGTGAGAGCTCACCCGTCAAGCCTGGGGAAGAGATACCCGGAGTCTGATGGGATGTGCCTTCAGCATCTTCACTGGAATTATGGATGAGAAGGAGACGGAAGTGTGGTGAGTGTGTGTGTGTGTGTGTGTGTGTGTGTGTGTGTGTGTGTGTGTGAGAGAGAGAGAGAGAGAGAGAGAGAGAGAGGAGGGAGAACATATAGGGAGGAGGGTAAGAGAGGCAGCTTCCTAATGAAATACAGATGGTCCTCACACAGCCCTCCGTGATCACCTACCTGCTCCCCTCCCCCATCTTCCCTAGCTCCAAATCTGCCTTTCTCTCTTCCCAGGACTGCCTGATTTAAAGAATGAGGGCTTCTCGGCTGCTGGGCTTGTTAGAGGCATCCTAGGAGAATCCGATGGGCCAACTCCATCGCCAGATACAAAGACCTCCATGCCCACCCCAGATCCAGTAAAACAGTTCCTGTTTTTAAAAACCTCCTTGAGAAGATGCAGTTCCTAATCACTGTTGGTTATCGTTTCCACTGAGCTGGTTCTTCCGAATGTCTGATCCAAGCCCTCCCTACCTCAGCTTCAGCTCTTTTTCTCCTGTTTGATTGGCAGACATATTCAGGGGACAGTTGCCCTCTATGCTCCCAATGACAATGCAATGATTTAAAGACTGATCCAGTGTTCACCACCCCACTCCCACTTCAAAGGTTACAATAAAAGCAGAATGCTCCCCTCCTCTTCCCTCTCTGTGTTTGTGTCTGTTTCCAGCACTCTGGACACCACCGACTGACTCTAATCACAGTCCAAGGCCATTCTTTTTTTTTTTTTTTAATTTTTATTTATTTCTAGGAAAGAGAGAGAGACAGCGTGAGCAGGGGAGGGTCAGAGAGAGAGGGAGACACAGACTCTGAAATAGGCTCCAGGCTCTGAGCAGGCAGTCAGCACAGAGCCTGACACGGGGCTCGAACCCACGAACCACGAGATCATGACCTGAGCGAAAGTCGGACATCTAACCGACTAAGCCACCCAGGCGCCCNCCAGGCTCCGAGCTGGCAGTCAGCACAGAGCCCGACGCGGGGCTCGAACCCACGAACCGTGAGATCATGACCTAAGCGAAAGTCGGACGCTTAACTGACTAAGCCACCCAGGCGCCCCCAAGGCCATTCTTTCTAACCTGTGAGGCCAGCTGATGGTCAAGTGAAGGACAATGTGACAACACAACGTTCTTGGGCTGGAATATCTTGAAGGGCCCTTAGAAGTCGAAGACTCCACTTCTAATATCTCACACTCCCCTGGCCCTTCAGTTCACACAGCACCAAGAAGTAGATCTGGGCAAGAATGGGATGAAGGTGAGTCAGTCAGGTCAGGGGGCAAGGAGAAGACTAACACCTGGGGAAGCAGCCACCCCACCCAGGCTTGCCTCCCCCCCCCCCTCCCAGGACCTAGAGACAAGGAACAGGGAGAAGGGAAACTGATGGTGCATATATACTAACCATTAAGCAAAAGAGCAGAGAACAGGTCTTTCTTAATCCACCCTCCCTAGACTACTCCAAGAACCTGACACACAGAACTCAAAGCTGGCCAGCTATCATATTACTTGGGTTGACCAGTAACAAGATGCCAGTCAAAGGGCTAGTTGGGAAGTGCCATGTGCCTGTAGAGGGAAGCTCAACCCCACATACTGCCCAGGAGCCACACGAATGCAAAACGGGTTCTCAGGACACTTCCCACCAGGCTCCACCAAAGTTCCCTTAGACACGGACACACACTCCCAACTCTTCATAAAGATGGTGTACTGTACCCAAGAAATCTATCTGTCCCAAGCTTTGCCCAAAGCTTTGTTGCCTCTGAAGAGATCCTGTGTTCTCCACACCCTGAATGAAGAGTCCCAGCTCCCCAGAGCCTTCCAAGAGCCTCATTCATTGTGTGCAATGTTCTTGTTTGGCGCTGGGGATACGATGGTGAGGGAAAATAACGGCACGGTCCCCGCCTCAATGATCCTGTAGGAAAATTCCAGTGTAAGAACTACTCTGAAAGATGTACAGGAGAAAAGACAAAATCAATCTTATTGTCCACGAAATAAGGTGTTAAGTTTCCAAGTTCACATAAAGATCCAGCTGCAATAGCAAACTGCAGTGGACTTGCCTCAGATCCCTGTGAAAATGAACTTCACAGTCTTCTGTTTCCCCAGCGTAAGTTGGGGGCAATGATAAATGCCATGGATAAAGATTAGCTGAGACCTCAAGGAGCAAGGTGTTGTCCCTTCCTGCCTCTGTTCCATGAGTCACAAGTCTTGACTCTGGTGTCTGAGTTGTCTCCTGCCTCTTAAATAACCTTTTATCTTTCCCTCACCCCCACAGCAGTCTCCCCATTCTAGCAAAAACCCCTTTCCAGGACCCCTTCTCCCCATAATCTCTAACAACAAAATTCTTCTAGACTGTCCGAGGGCTTTTCTCAAATAAGAGATGTCTCTGACTTATCTTGCTTCTGACTTCTTCATCCATAAATCAGATAAGACTTTTTGATAAGTGTGAATAATGTCTCCAAAAGTGGTTTTTAATTTAAAAATGAGAAGGGAAACAATCAAAGAAAGCAGTCATTGTAACGAGGCAGGAAAGGTGAGGTTAGGTCATTGCAGGTGCTTGAAGATAGCACATCTTTTCCTTCTTTTAAACCGGGTCCACCATTTGTGTTTATGCAGACCCTTGAGAAGACGAGTCCATTCCCTTTCCAAAAAATGTTTGGCACTGATTTAATCCTCCAAAGATCCGTGACTCAAACATTACTCATGCCTCTAACTGAATACCACTCTTTGACCCCACAGACAAGTCGATGATGCTCATACATTATTTCATTCATAAAGTGTTGCTGGGATACAATATGATAAATGCCAAAAAAAAAAAAAATCCCCTGTTAGCCCAGGGGATTACTCATTCACATCCACTGTGGGCACATCTTCTAGAAGTGGTTTCCATATACCATCTTCCAGTGCCTCTGCTGTCAACAACCTCACTGTTTAGGCCCCCATATCCCTCTGCTAAGCACCTTCCAGGGAGGCTGAAAAGGAGCTCTGAGAAGTCAGGCCTCTGGAGTCAGGCCCACACTGCAGAACTAACAGATGTTCAGCTCAGACCTCCCTATCTATCCCTGAAAGAAGGGCAGCATAGACATACATCTAAAGCAAAGTCCTGTCGGTTCTTTTCCAGACTTTTCATCCCTGCGGGGTCTTGCCTTGTGCTCATTTGCCTCTTCCTCTCATGCATTTTTCTAACCCATCGTAATGAAGCATTTATGTTCCTAAAGCCTTCTGTATCCTTCCTTCCTCAGCCAAAGAACCTGGCTGAAGATTGCAGATACCCTCCCCATCCGTTTTCCCATTCTCTAAGAGGGAAGAAGTGAAATGATCCAGGTAATTAGTGGGCCTGAGAATCAAGCCAAAGGAGGACAAACAGGGGAAATTCTACCTGAATCATCACGTCCTGGATTCCGAGTCTAGCCCAGCACAAGGGGTTTCTCTCAAGGCTCCCCAAGGGTAGAGCTGGACCCAATCTGTCCTGACAATGGCCTGTACCTCCAAGGACTAGTCAAGGTCACAATGGAGTGCACACAGAGGTCCACTCCCAAGGGAGTCTGACACATGGTGAAGAATCTGGAGATGGAATCCAGGAAACTGTAGAGAATTCTAGAGAGTGTGTTCCAAGGACATAAATTCTCTCTTTGGTCAAGAAGCATGAGCAAGCCAGCAGCATTTAATGAACGAACAGGCAGTGGGCCATCAGGTGCCACCAGCTCTTTCTGGGAATTTGGAGGGAGACGTTCTCTCTGCTTCACCCCAATTTCCCAAAATTGAGTTAATTCTTGGTGCCACCCCTCACTCCTCCTCTTTAGGATCCAGGCTCTCTCTACGCCTGTGGTTCTGACCCTAAGCCACCATCCCTAGTCCTGTCTTCTTACTGTGTCTTCTTGCTGTCCCCTCAATTTCTCCTTCTTCAGGACATGTCACCCTTAGTCACGTCCTGACTTAAACACCTCTCCCGCTCTGTCCATACCTCTGCACGTTCCTGTCCATTTCCTTTCTCCCCACTTCCTGTGTGCACTTGGCACTCTCCAATCTTTCCCCACTGGGTCTACCTTGCCGTTTCTTGTCCGTTTCTTGGCCACACCCCCAATTGTTCTTGTCTGGGGTCCATCTGTTCCAAACACTTCTGTCCACACTCATGGGTCCTGGTCTCCAGCACACTCAGCCCGCTGCTGCTGTCCCTGCCCCCTGCGCCACCAGCCATGACTCTCTCTGTGTCCCAGGCCTCCAAGCTCCCCCACCCTTGCACTCAATCATTGTGCTCTTGTAGCTTGCTCCGAAGTCTTGATACACTCCCTCCTTCACCATCAGACCCTCTCTTCCCTTCCTCTGGATTTCAGTCTCCAGTCCTCTTCATGTCTCCCCCACTGCCCAGATCTCTGCTGCTTCCTGAATCTTCAGTTTACAGCACCTGTTCTTCTGAGTCTCCTTCCACCCTGTCCATACAGCGCCGGATTCCTGTCCACAATGACCTGCTGGTCCTTCCCTCCACCATGATCACCTCCAGAAGTCCAAGGAGTGTCCTGCCCTCCCACACACCTGTGTCTGCTTTCTTCCTTACATGGGACTCTGTGCGCTACTGGCTCTAAAAGTGGGGGGCCTGGATTGGGCCCTGCCAATCCCCCGGCACTGAGTGACCACAGGGGATGGGCTGGCAACCAGGATCCTTAATGTTCAGTTACCACAATGACCCTATAAGGGCAGATATTCTAGGCCAGAGGCCAAAGAGTCAGAAGACAGACCCTTAAGGCATCAATGACTCTGGTAACAGGCCCAGGGGCCGGAGAACATCGGTTATGCCCACTGTTAGGAGTAAAGGGCTCTCTTTGTCTCTGGCCTGCCTCAGGCCCACTCCCCATTCAGCCTGGAAGGAGCCTTGAGGTGAACATCATAAACAGACTCTTCAGTAGCAAGAGAACAAAGGTGTTCAATCTTCCACCAGGCATCAGTTTACCCGAAACGTGTGGCCGTGAACATTTCAATCTCAGGGACTAAACCTGCCCTTGCACAGGGGCTTCTGTCTGACGAATCAGATGGGCGTCTGCAGTTTGTTCTCACCCAGCAGCCAGTCACTGCCCACGTGGCATGCAGGACTGGCCCTTCTCAGGACTGCCCTGACACCAAAGACGAGGTGCAGGACAAGCATTTTGCTCTGAGTAACCCAGTCAATTGCCCTTAGGCTCCTCTAAAAGGAAATAGGTGGATTTCTATGGTTCTCCCTCCTACTGTCTGTTGAGAGTCTAAGAAACAGTATTAGCAGGAGGTACAATGATGATAAATTTTTTAAAATTATTTATCTCATTTTATCATCAGAACTCTCCCAGGTTGTGGAAAGAGTGGTGACTGTTATCTTCCTTTTACAAAAGAAAAACCTTGATCAAGGGCAGTCAATGGCTTGCTTGCCCAGAGCCATCAGCTGGGAAGTAGTGGGCTGGGCTGTGTCCCAGGCAGGCTGGTGTCCACAGACCCTGCCCACTGAGGCAGGGCTCCCCATGACACTGGTCTGAGACCTTCCACACCGGTCTCCTCCCTGCCCTTACGATGTGGGGAGAGGGTACCCCAGGGACAGGACAGGACAGGATGGTAGATGGGTGTGGGAAGGGGCTGCAGGTTTATACGGAGGGCTGCACCTAGTGAGGGTGACGGAGCTCCCCATTCGGT